AGCCCACGCAGCGCATGCGCCTCGCGTGCCACACCCCTCCTCCCGGCTCCTCCGCCAGGGCCGTGTTAAAGGCAAGGACCACAGACCCAGGCATTTTTCTGTCGGCCCAACGAGGCTCAGAGGCTCGGTCACCACCCCTTACCCACCTTTCACTTCGGAGTCATTTCCAATCGCACCATCTCCTGTTTGCCCACCCGGTTCTGGAGATCAGAACCGTCACCCCCCACGTTGCCCAGCCCAGGGTACTGGGCGCCTGCCGGTGGTCTGGCCGGGCTCCCAGGCCTTGTGTATGTCAGCAGAGCAGGGCTCCTAGAAACCCTTCTCACCGCCCAGATGAGAGCCCAGAGACCCAGGTAACCCCCACCGGCCGCCCAGGGCTCTTCTGCCTGCTCTGCGCTCCCCGCAGTCCCTCGCCCAGGGACTGTGTGGGGAGGATGAGTGAGCACCAAGGCCAAGGTTCCGGTGGCCAGGGCAGTGTCTGGGAGGGTCAGCACGGCAGCCCACCCAGAGGAGGAAAGACAGAGCTGGTTCTATCAGACAGAGAGCTCCGGCTCCCTAGGAAATCTGTAGAGACAGGTGCCCAGGGGGACAGGCTCTTTTGTCTGCCGGGAGTGCAGGGCCAGGAAGCCCAAGGGGATCGAGCAGAGGGAAGAAGCAAGGGCAGGTGGGTTTTTCCTGAGACCCAGATCTGGCCCTCAGCTTCCACACGTCAAAATCCGCCAATTAGTAGGTCATCCAGTGGACTTGAGGAAGCTTTCCAGCCTTCTTCCCCAAGAGGTGGTACTGTCTTCATCGTTCTCCCAAGGGTTCCCTAACAGTGGCCACCAGCAAGAGAGGGGTACAAGATGTGCAAGAAAGGGGGAAACTGAGGCCTGCCACAGGGCCCAGGGCCCAATTCTCAGATCGATGAACCAGGGTCCCTTCCTGCTCCAACTGAGCAGGGTTGCCCCCACTTTACCCCTTGAGTGGAGGTTCCCAAATGTGCACCTCAGTTTCCCTAGCCCAGTGCTTGGCAAGGCGTAGTTGGAGGGGGCAGGCAGGGCCACAGGGAGCAGAGAGGGCTCTGGGCTGACAGCTGCCACCTCTTCAAAGGACGCTCTGTGTGTGTCTGGCAGGCAGCCCTGCCCGTGCCCACCCGCCCGTGTCCAGCTGGCATGGGGGCTCCTGAGCTGAGAACAGCAGCTCAGCCTGGTGCCTGGGCTCCCAGCCACATGCACCCACTGTCTCAGCGGCCTCAGAGGCCACCCCTCCCCCTCCCCCTTACTGAGCCTGCCTCGCCTTCTTTCTCTCCTACTTTGCTGGATTCTTTTTTTTTTTTTAATATTTTTTTTTAATTTCAGGGAGGAAGGGAGAGGGAGAGAGAGATAAAAACATCAATGATGAGAGAGAATCAATGATCGGCTGCCTCCTGCACGTCCCCCACACTGGGGATCAAGCTCGCAATCCGGGCATGTGCCCTGACCGGGAATTGAACCGTGACCTCCTGGTTCATAAATCAACGCTCAACCACTAAGCCATGCCAGCTGGGTTTGGCTGGATTCTTACCACTCTTATTTCCTCTCCCATCAGCCCCATTTCTAGGTGCCCGGGAAAGGGAAAGACCCCTTTCACCCCCTAGCCACAGGGAAATGGAAACCCAGGGGAGGGGTGCAGCTAGGGCCAGGACCTTGAAACCATCTAATCCTTTCCTCCACCTGAGCCCCAATGACTGCTTACAGCTGCTTATTCGGGGAGGGCATCCCCAACTCTTCCCTTAGCTCAGGAAGAGGGATCCCTGGCCAGGGCAAGGGACCCAGGGCGTTGGGTGTGGGGTTGGGGCCAAGCAGAGGAGCCCCACAGGGCACTGAGTGCCCTCCCCTGACATTACCAGGTGTCTGTGAACGCAGGGATGCTCCTTTCTCACCACCCCCTGCCACCCCACCCTGTCCTCAGCAGGCAAATGATCCTGGGTGACTCACTCAGTCCTGCAGACAACAGGCTCTGGGGCCTCATGAATAGCAGATCACACCAGAAGCAACAGCTGGGCTGCCTGAGTAGGCGCCAGCACCCTCAGAGGGTCCTTGAGGGCTTACCAGGGGCCCAGGGAGACAGGGGTTACTGTTGTTCCTGGCACTGGGAGGAAGGGAATTTGGACACAGCCACTGAGTAAGTCTGGGCAGACACAAGCTTCATACCAGCTCTCTGGCTGCTGTCCCCTGGGCCTTGCTGTGTCTAGAGGTGGCTCCTTTTCCTCCTCCCCACCCCAGCGTAACCGTGCCCCTTTATGGCAGAGGAGACCTTGGCCTAGGAGAGTGCAGTGAGTCTTCAGAGGCTCCTGTGGGCACTGTCATACTCCTACATTAGCCTGGGGCATCTGTCACCATTGATGAGCCAACGTTGATACATCCTTGTTACTTAATGCCAAGTTCTATGCAGGTTACCTTAGTTGTTCCTTACTGTCCTTTGTCTGTTCCAAGATCCATCCAGGATCCCACATTACATTTACTCACCATGTCTCCTTAGGCTCCTCTAGGCTGTGACCATTTCTCAGAGTTTCCTTATTTTTAATGACCTTGACAGTTTTGAGGAACACTGGTCAGGGACGTTTTAGACAGTCCCTCCGTTGGGATTTGTCTGATGTTTTTCTCATGGTTAGGTGTGACTTTTTGGAAGGAAGAGCCCAGAGGTAAAATGCCATTCTCATCACATGATGTCAAGGGAACATATCAACAAGATTTATTGCTGCTGCTGTTGACCTTGATCACCTGGCTGATATAGTGTTTGTCAGGCAGGTTTCTCCACTATAAAGTGACTTTTTTGCCTCTACTTGTATTCTTTGGAAGGAGGTGTTATGCTCTACCTTCCTGAGGACACAGTATCTACATAAATTATTTGGAATTACTCTGTACTGGAAATTTGTCTCTTCTTTATTTATTTATCCAATCATTTATATCAGTGTGAACTCATGGATATTTATTTTACACTTTGGATTAGAAACCCATATTGCTTCATTTTCTTGCTTAAATTGTTCCTGTATTGGCTATTGGGAGTTCTTTCCGTTGGTAAATAAGATTTTTCAAGAGAATCTAGAAATCCAGATTGTTTTATAAAATCTCTGGATTTTGAAACGTTGACTGAGTGAGCCAAATGAAATTCTTCGGCAGGACAACGCCAGGCAGCTCTGGGCTCAGGAGTTGTTACCTGGTTGGAATCCTGCTCTGCTGCTTGCAGCTGAATGACCTTATGCAGGAGTTAACTTGCCTGGGGCTCAGTTTCCTCCTCTGTGAAATGGGAGGATAAAACTCTTTGGGTGGGCCCTGCCCGGTTTGGCTCAGCGGATAGAGCCTCGGCCTGCGGACTGAAGGGTCCCAGGTTCAATTCTGGTCAAGGGCATGTACCTTGGTTGCGGGCACATCCCCAGTGGGGGGTGTGCAGGAGGCGGCTGATCGATGTTTCTAACTCTCTGTCCCTCTCCCTTCCTCTCTATAAAAAATCAATAAAATATTTAAAAAAACAAAAACTCTTTGGGTGGTTGAGGGGATTCTGTTGAATGACTCAGGTAAAGTTTGGGGCACTGGACCTGACACAGAATCCTGGCTTATTAAACATTATTGCCACACACATGAGCCAGGTGTGATTAAGCAACTCCCTATGGAGGGCAAGAATTGAGTTTGTTTTGGGGAGGCCTGAGAGGGTTGGGAGTGACTGACGGGACCCTGTGAGCTCTGGAGTAGATGAGAATGGGAACTACCTACCCCAACCCCGGGTTTCAACATGAGATTTGAGCGCTACTACTCTGTAGTAGCACCACATTGACAGGTGGGAGAGAACGCAGAACCAGATGTCCTATTTCACTCACTCTAAAGTGTGAATGGCTACCTCTCCCGGAAAAGCAAGTCAGACTAGCACAGAAAGAGAGGCTTAGTGGAGTGGGTGGGAAACCCACTGGTCTGCCAGGGTAGACCTTGGGGTTTGGTCATAGCACCACCTCACACTGACCCTTATGACCCCTAAGCAAGTCCCAGTTTCCAACCCTTGAGGGTAATTTCAGAGTCTGGTCAAAGGTGGGCTCTGGGGGCTGGGACAGGGTACCTCTTTGTCTGTCCTCTATGCGCAGAACCTTGGGGGCCTCAGGTTAAGGGAGCAGGTGATGTTCAGGTCATCAGGCTGCTGGGTGCAGAGGGAGACCACTGTCCCTCAGACACTGGGGCTTCGGGACCTGGTGGCAGAGGGGATATGTATTAGCTTCTTATTGCTGCTGCAACAAATTACTGTAAACTTAATGGCTTGAAACAATATGAATTTATTATTCTACAATTCTGGAGGCCAGACGTCCAAAAGGGTTGGCAGGGCTGCATTCCTTCTGGAGGCTCTAGGGAAGAATCCCTTTCCTTGCCTTTTTCAGCTTCCAGAGGCCGCCCGCATTCCTTGGCTCCTGCCCTGCATCACTCCCACCTCTGCTCCCGTCATCACATCTCCTCTAACTCTGGCCTTTACGACTCCCTTTTTTTATTGTTAATCCTCACCTGAGAATATTTTTTCCATTGCTTTTCTGAGAAAGAGTGGAAGGGAGGAAGCGGGGGGGGAGAAGAGAGAGAGAGAGAGAGAAACATCATTGTGAGAGAGACACATCAATTGGTTGCCTCCTGCACGCACCCCAACCAGGGCCGGGGATCAAACCCGTAACCCAGGTAGATGCCTTTGGCCAGGGAATCAAACCCGAGACCCCTCTGTGTGTGGCTGATGCTCTACCACAGGGGTCCTCAAACTTTTTAAACAGGGGGCCAGTTCACTGTCCCTCAGACCGTTGGAGGGCCGGACTATAGTTTAAAAAAAACTATGCCGAAACCGGTTTGGCTCAGTGGATAGAGCGTCGGCCTGCGGACTGAAAGGTCCCGGGTTCGATTCCGGTCAAGGGCATGTACCTGGATTGCGGGCACATCCCCAGTGGGAGATGTGCAGGAGGCAGCTGATCGATGTTTCTCTCTCATCGATGTTTCT